AGAATATGTATATGTTTGAAAATTTTTTTTCTTGCGACATTGACCCGCTGCTGTATAATATACCCGGGTCTTTTGTGAGTTTTTTGTTGGGTATTTTATATTATACCCGAGTCTTTTGGTCAGTGGACTACGGTATATATAATTAGAAGTTTAATAGATAAACAGCATGTGAACATATCAGATATATAATTAAAGAAAAAACTTATAACAGTAAATAATGTTCACGATTGAATTTTCCTTTTACAGAATCTGGAAATTTCCATAAGCGGATCAAATCTAGATGATTTGCAGGTGTGACCCAAAGATAAGTCAGGATTTGAACCAGATTCAGGGAAGTACGTATGTACGATGCAATTTTTGTATGCGCGAACTTGTATTAGACTCAAAAAAGAATATGTCTCTTAATCCTGAATTTACAAGGCCAAAGATCCTATAATGACCTTTATTATTGGGCTTCGAGATAGCATTACGTTGTAATTGTAAACATTCAGATTGGGAAAAGTTTGCTATTATAGTAATATTTCAGGTTGCTTTGATTGGTTCGGGCATGATCGGTTGATAAGGTTAAGACGCCCATTAATATCACGCGGTTATGGGCTTGCACGATTTGATAACAACATATTCGGCAACAGATGTGCAATTGTTTGTTTTCTTGTCATTTTATGTGTTATATTCCTAAATTTAGACTTTTGCGTATACAAATATTCTCAATATGTATATGACGTTACATTACACTGCGTGAGTTTTTGGTCATCTGCCATTTACGATTATCAGTCCCACAATTTTGAGTGTTTATTACTAATGCGTATAAAAACATATAAAAGGGACTTGAATTTTACCAACTCTTCAAAAGTTTCATAAGTTGTAAATAGTTATATAATCATAGCATAAAAGAATCTTGACATACAAAAACTTAAACGTACTTACATCAAATAAAAACGTTGTTTTAACTTTATTCGTTCACGATAACGTGTCTGACATAATTACATAATGCCTGTTCAAGTTGCTACTGGTGACAAATTTAGAGATAACTGTAAGTTGATTTTGTAGTGAATATGTTATTTTATGCCCACTGTCACTGATAATTGTTTTTCTATTGTCACAGTCGGGATGTGCGTTTCTCAAGTTTAGAGGATTTATGAAGTGATAATTGTGAGAGTTATAATCATTACTAATAAATTTTTTGGTATTTCATCATGCCCATTTGTTTTATCGATTCTTTGTAAAATAGGTATCAGGTTACTTCATAAAGCACTCGTCGAAGATTCCCAATGTAGCGAAGGTAAGCTGTTATCTGAAACCGGCCGCGCGTTTATTTGCGAATATCACTCGCTTATGTGATACTCTTTATCATAACTACCGATACATACCTCGCCTTGTTTATAATCTAAAGAGGAGGATCATCGTTTAGCTGAAGTAGCAAGACGTGTTGAGCAATACATGTATCGTGACTGTAACTTTCAAGTGAATAAAGATTATAAGGATAACGCAAGAAGTAAGATCTGGAATTTGAAGGACTTGAAAAATCCAGAATTACGTGAAAATGTCATTAGCGGTAACATTGGTGCAGAAGAATTTGCAAAGATGGATTCTGAGGTAATCTTTCGAAATATTTTTTTTTATGTTAATAGTATGATTTGTATAGTATATTTACATAGTTTAATTAGGCGATGGCTTCAAAAGAACGTAAGCGCCAGAATAGTATTATTCGGATGAACTCCCTTGCAAATTCAATCGCTATCGTTGATATGAAACCAATTCCAATGGATGATTCCGATCCTAGTGAACGAAAGAATGCTCTTGGAAATCGAGCCGGAAACAGAATTTGAGTTGTTCGGGTTTGGAACCTTCAACATAATTTGCTGATTAAATATACACAGTCAAATATATATATATGTAAGAAGTAAAAAAAAAAATTATAGCTTCTATTTTCATTCTTTTAACTTCATATAGATGCCTTTATTTCTTTAGATACCAATTCTTTTCTTATGCGCAGTCTGGTTAAATCAGTAATAGTTTACTTACGTATCGGTATTGCTTTTAAACGACGCATTATTTTGTCTTTTAATTTTATCTTTGCATAAAAATATCCCCAAGAAAATACCAAATTCGCAATCATTCTCCCAATTTTATTACTTTGTCCAATTCATTGTACATACTGTACATATATGTACCTACGTACGTATGTAAATTTTAATGTGATTAAACAATTTGCATACTTTGCATTCGTATCAAGTTGATTACTTTTATTTTATAAAATTAAAATATGGTTTGAAGTATTTGAATATGTCGTTGGGGCACATTTATATAACTTATCGAAAAAAGCATAATTAAATGTTCAAATCAACCCATGTTAATGTGTTATGTTATGGTCAGTGACTGATAGAATTTTACCAAGTCATATCCCATGAAATAACAATAAAGTATGCATCCACAGTCGTAACTCAAGGCGTGATCGACGTGATCGATATATGCCGTAATATTTAATTTATGTCGTAACTTTAGAGATGTGCCGTAATATTCGACGTTATTAATCATTTGTTATATGAACTCTCGATATAAAGAATGAGTGAAAACTTTTCAAATAGTGAACTTAATAATAAACCTTCGAAATAACGAATTTTTTAAGATTTTTACTAGTAGAATGGGTCACTTCACTAAAATGTGAGTGACTTATGAATCGTTCTTTATTATATAATGTAAATTCTCATTTTCACGTTCTTTTGAAAATAATTAAGGCATCAATTTGTATACAGTATTTTGTTAATATGTACATGCAAATTCTTATAAATTTTCAACGTTAAAGCTATTTTATGTAAAGTAATTACAATATAATCTGTGTTTACTAAAGTAATTACAAGGTAACAGTGAAGTCAATTTTTGAAAAAAAAATGGCAATTTTTATTTATTTACAAGTTTCGACATATGTCGGCTACATATTATGACGTACGCTGTTATTACGCTTTTAACATAATTATACGCCACGGGTATATACGGAAAGGCGATTGTTACAGGCACGTACCTAAAGGCATAACAATGCCCTGCATAAATACTTATCTAATTTTCGCGCAAGGGTGTAATTTCAAATATTGGCTGAATTAAGCTTAAATCGGCCAAAATTCGACCTGCGCGTTATTCCGCGAAAATACTTTAACTCGTGTCACTATTGTGCCCGTGGAAATATAATTGTGATACAGTCAAAATCGGTACGCATGGTGGATTTGAAAACATAATACTATTAATATTTTATCAGATTTTACAGGTTATCGGTTTTAGAAACATTAAAATTTAAAAACTTATAAACCAAACTAGCTCGTAGTTTGATATGATTAATTTATATATAAAATTTGAGTCGGTTATACTAGTTCATATAAATTTATTCAATTTTTTATCGATCGTAAAGGTAATTTGTTCACGTAATACGTAATCAATAATTAATCCGTATGGTTAACCGCATACCCGGATGTTATAAATGCCTCATGGGTAAGAACCCTTATCCGCAAGCTTCCAAAAGGGTAACCTAATGGATATCTGCAGAGCGGGTATCCACGGATGCCCACAGTTAGAGATTGGACCCTAATACAGTAAGATCTGGGTTGCTTACCCGTTTAAAATAATAAAATGGGTTTATACCCACAAGCTCAGGGACACGATCGATTTTTCGATTTATTTCGATTTGACCAGCATTAAGAAAAAAACAACGATAATCCCGGCTGAAATTAAAATGGTGAAAATTATAAGCCAATCATTTTATATTACATGATACAAATTTTATAGCAAAAATTTCGATTTTATATAATGAAAATTTGATTTCGAAATATTTCCGTGTCCCTGCACTGAAGGCAATTTACTCTTGATTTTTTTCTTCTTCCCACAAGCTGAATGTAATAATGGTAAATACTGTATTTGCGAAATAACGCCCATGGCGTTATTTAGAGTAATGGCCCGAATTAAGCATAACTTAGGTCAAAATTTGAAATTATACCCTGCGCGTTATTTCGCGACAATACGGTAAGCATTTATGATCTGACCAAATTAACATGAATGAACCGATTTATATAGCATAGCAAATAAGTATTTATAATATTGATTTGGGATTTGTTTTGCTAATTGTCTGAAGCGTAATCCGTTATTACTAAAAAGCACATTATTGATTCTGAGTTTTAATTATGACATAAGCTACATTTTTTAATATTTTTTTGAAAGTCTGTCTTGGATTCCGCTCACGTGATATTGCGCCAATCGGCATCTAAATATAAAATTCGGTAAAATATTGTAAGTGCTGACATAACGTATAACTTGTCGGTTCATTATAATTATGACTATCTGCATCTACAAAATTCAGTTTAAAGCTAATCTTTTGAATCTCATATACAACATACTGTATACATCTGTATCTTGTTTAACACATATGTTACGAATGTTATGCACGAAATTACACCATGAGTAACTGATTCGAATCTGCTAATAAGAAGTCACTGGAAGTCAGGGGTACCGAAAAATTAATTGCAATTAAATTTTTTTACAATTACCATTTATCATAATTGTTACACGAAAATAAT